CTGAAAGAAGAGCAAAACACTGCTCTGGAGGCTTTTCTCAGAGGAAAAGATGTTTTTGCTCTTCTCCCGACTGGTTTCCAGAGAGGGAGAAAGGAGCCAGATGCCGATTGATATTGGGTTGACCCATGTTTTAAAAAAACTATTTTCAGTGGGAAAGACGATTCTGAGTTACATGCAGGTTGAAATTGCAAATGTTTTGGACAGTTCTAAGTTTGTTACCTTCAAATCACAGTTTTTTTTTTGCAATTTTCTTAACTTTTTTTTCCCAAATAAAATACTGGTGATTTAAATGTTAATTGATGAATTATAACGTAGTTTTTGTTTTAAGGTCCTTTTCTAAATAGTTTTTTGAAGAAAGCTGTTTTTGTACAGTAAGTATTTTTAAAAACTAACCTGTTTTTGAGGAACAGAACAGATTTCGCTTCCCTTTAAATCCACGACTGCTTATGATATAATTCATGTTTTGCATTCAGTGCATTGAGTTTGATAATCTTAAGTGTAAAATATTCTTGTAGTTTTTTAACTCACCCGACGATGTCGCCATGTTTCAGCAGGGGGAAACGTCAAAGTCGATTCTATTGGAAGATGCTGCTAAACCTGAAACTACACAATATAATAATAATATTTACATGGGTTAAAAAAGATGATTTAATTACTTGATGTTCAACTCCGATACAGAAATATTCTATAGTTTTTATTGTTAAACAATGAATGAAACAATCAAGACTGTCTAAAGAGCCGAACCAATACTGAAAACATCTGATATGTTCTGTTTTATGGTTTCCATGGTGACTGAAAGCATGCAAAGACATTTTCATCCTACCAATTAACCACAATTAACAGAACACATGTAACTTAATGTTGTATTATGTTTATTGAAGAAAGAAAATTGGAAACTCAAAAAGCCATGAATAAATGTTTTGTATTTTTCCACATTTAAATTCTCATTCTCATTCATTAGGAGTTTTATATTAACAACTTTCTTAAAAAACTGCTATTTATGGCTGAGATCTGTGTGTTTTCACCTCACTTTTTCTCGGTCTAATGTTGCTTTCTGGTTTAACCTGATCTCTAAACTGATTTAAATAAATCACACATCAGTGCGGTTCAGGATTCAGATTTTTCTATGTTCCCGATTTATTATCTGTACAGTAAGATAAAGAAATATAATTTTATTAAACTTACCAACATGCCTCTTAGTCTGCCATTGTCTCCAAACGCTTAGTTGAACTTCCAACTCAGAAATGTGCTCATTTCCTTTCCAGCACATCTAAAGCTCGTTGTCAGAGCAAAGTGAATGCGTCACACATGGAGGCCTTTATGGTTGGCTTTGGTCCAAATATGCAGACAAGTATGACAACAATGGAAGCTCCGTTTCGGGCTGATTTTTAAAACCTTTGATCTCTTTTAGGACCCAATAGTGACATTTCTTACATTGTGCGAACCATTTTCCATAAATCATAGCACATCGCGGGGACTGACTGCTCTCATGGGGGCCAATGGCTGGTTGCCATGGGTACAAATGTTTTTTTAGTGTTTGGTTTTAGGTTTAGGACTAAGATGTGTTAGGAGTTTAGGCTGGGGTTAGGTTTAGTTTTAATCCCATATTGGTTAGGGTTAGGGGTCACAGGTTAGAAATTAATGGTCAATCAAAAGTCCTCACAGGGATAGAAAAACATGTTTTGGATGTGTGTCTGTGTGGCCATGTTTTTGCAACCTTTTGGTGACAATTTCCCAGCATTATGCTACATTTTTGGGACTTATTAGTACTTGTGGGGACCACCTCCTGGTCCCCATGAGAAAAATTAGGTTCTTGCTGTTTAGAGAAAAGTTGTGAATTGAGTTTAGGTCGGGTCTAGGTAGGTTAGGTTAGGTATGGGATGGTAATGGTTTGGTTTAGGGTAAGAGTTAGGGTTAGGCCATAGAAAGTAAAGAGAAATGAATGGAAGTCAATTGAAACTCCCCACAAGGATAGCGTGACACACACACACACACACACACACACACACACACACACACACACACACACACACACACACACACACAGTGTGTGTGATCATGCTGCTAAATTCGGACATTTTCTTGCATTATTAAGTTAAGCCTTCATCAGTTTCCTTCATCTGATGGTTCCCTTTCATCTCATCGTATCTTTTCTTAAGTTTAACTGTAGCTCAGCAGAAAGTCCCTCTCTGTGCCTCATTATAACCCTGATGAGGCTTATTAGACTAAACCTCCTCCTCTTGTCTTGCAGGGTGAGTAGTTAACAAGCTGTTATTTAATAAACTGCTAACTTCAGCCTGGGTTAATCCGGTTCCACCTGCTCCTTTGTGCTCATTTTCTGACGCTGCAGCCTCCATGGCTGCTCTGACATGAGCTCTGTTCCCGTTCCTCTTCCCTGAGGCGCTTGGTTTCACATTTTCCTGCCATTGTTTTGATTTTATATTTTTATCATGTAATTTCAAACATACATCGATATTTTTAAGTCCCTTTAAGGGGTTGGGGAACGAGATGAGCTTTACAACCTTGGGTAGGGGGCCCAGGTAGACGCATACCTGGGTTTTCAGTGGACAGAAACATTTTTAACCAATCAGGATGATTGATTTATCTCTGTGCCTTTAGGGGACATGAGCTGTGAATTTATCCATTTAAATAAAGTGAACTGTAAGGTTTTTTACACATCTTCACCACAGATGCCGGTAAGTTTGACCGGTGCTGTGAAATACCACAGAGCTGGCTGTGGTTTCCCTGCTGTGGGGAAATGATGTAAACTTTGTGGCAGTGAGTAAGAATCTCAGAATCTGTTGGCACTTGTGTTCTTGAATGTGTTTTATTTCCATATTTAGTAAAACTGGTTGAACAGCAAAAGTCCCGGCAGGACTGCAGCCGTCAGTTCTCAGCACCGCGCCCCGAGCAGAAAAAACCAAGTCAAGAGAAAAGGTGGAGATTTAACTTTCTGCTGATTGAATATCCTGCTGCAGACGTTTATTCTGTGTGGATTATTTAATCCTTTCCTCTTTTTAAGCTTTGTTTAACCTGACTGAATTAAAAAAGGATGTTATCTCCTTTCCTTTAATCCCTTTTCCTCATCCTTAAACCTTTTTTGTTGTTTTATCTGTTTTCTATTGAGTCAAACATTTTAATTCATGTTTTCCTTTATAATCTAATTTGGTAGAAAATTAGTCTCACTCTACTATAAATTAGTTCGGAGCTCATTTCTGTCTAAGCCTGACTGGATTGGACTGGTTCCTTTAAATTGATGAGGAGTAATTATCAAGTTATCCCCCCTAAGAGCCAAATATGTTTTGTTTTTTTATTATCTGGAAATAAAAATGTAGTTTTGAGATAAATTTGACTTTTTGTGGTTTTAAGTTGTTTTCCTGAAGCCTTTTGGGAAAATAAATGAGTTTTCTGGCTGGAGGATGCATTCAGGGAAGCCGCTGTGGGAATTGAACCTGTGACCTCTGTGCTCCGATGTGCTTCGTCTGCCACCCTGCCAACAGGGAGAGAGGAAAACATGTGGGAAATGTTTTAAAATAGTCCCGGCTGGAAATAAAGTTGTGGTTTTGAAAGTGAGCTTTGCTCATGTTGTTAGAATGCTGATTTTGGGCGGAGGAGGTGTTATTCCAGCGGCGGCGTGACCCGTCAGGGAACGACGCGCTGAAAACTCGCTGGTCTGTGGAAACTGAGCGACACCAGATATTTCCCATAAATCACTGCGATTTCGGTCTGATGTGAACTGAGGCTGTTATCAGATGAAGGTTTTCAGTTTTTATCTCATCTTCTCCTGCACAGGCGAAAGAAGGTATTTGTTTTTGGTGGCCAGAGTCCGATTCATCATTTTTCCTCAAACTTGTTATTTAGACTCTCAGGAATAAAGATTTAAATCATAAAACAAGAAGAACCTCTGTGGGTTTTTCCCATGTTTAATGTTTCTGTTTTTTTTTTGCAGGTCCTGTATCTTCTACAGAGCCTGCATGGATATCCCCAGAGGGACGGAGCTGCTGGTCTGGTACAACGACTCCTACACGTCCTTCTTTGGTATCCCGCTACAGTGCATCGCTCAGGATGAAAACCGTAAGGAAACATCGACACTTTTACCTTTGTTCACCTGTTAAATATTCAGAAATACCTTTGATTAAGTCATGTAATGAGAAGGTTCTGGTCCAGCATGAAGCCTTAAACATCAGACTCACAGTGAATGCGCTGCGACTGCGGCTGCGCTGCAGCGCCACCAAGAGCTTAAATCGCTCAAATAACAGCGGCTCTGCATGGAGCCCCTGGATCTCAGGAGCCAAACAGGAAACGGCAGACATTAAGGGAGTCCTGGGGAATTTCAGAATAAAATCAGCCCACTAACCTACCCTGCCTTAAGTGATAAAACTAAAAAAGCAGAACAGAACCAAGAGGAAATGGATTGGCTTTTCAGGGATAAAAAGTTATATTTTTTCACATGGATAAAGAGTTTTGCCCTAGAACTCCTGGAAAGAGTGTAAACCCACATCAACTTATGATCAGTGTTCATTATAAGTCACTTCTTACACCACAGCCGCACCGTGGTCATTGTGAGCCCAGGGTAAGACTTCTGCTTCATACGCAGCACAACGGCTGCAGTTCCCTTTTTAAACAGTAGATGTCGCTGCACAGAAAAATCTACCTGAATTAAAGGCATACTATGAAAGATTTTTCAGTTAATTAATGTGTTCCATAACGTTTTGGATGATTAAATGAGTCATTTCAGGTTGAACAAAGGTTTTCTCGGCCGCCCTGGTGGTCTGTAGGGGAAATACCGTACTTGCAATTGCAGGAGCCCTCGGCCCGCACCCACAGGCTCAGAAGTCTTGTAGCATCGCGAGAGTCGGTGTTGCTTTACGGCGAGAACTTGGCTAACTATAATCTTTGTTATTTAGACACATGCATAACAAATAATGTATGAAAACATGCTAAATTTTCAAACTTGAAAATTGGAACAAAATAGTCACTTACCGCAGTAGACATGGTGATTGGTTGCGTTCGCCTGTCTGCTAAGCTCAAAACAACCGCGCCTGGAGAACAGCTGAGCATATTTTCGACAGTGCACTTTTACTTTCGCCCTCTGGGGGGAGCCTCGCTGGAAAATCAACACCGGTTGCATAGTATACCTTTAACCCTTTGAGCCCGGCCGGCCTGTATCTATTTATAGAAATGGCCGCTGTCACATGGTGTTTCATCCACACACCTTTCAAATGGGGCTTTATAGTTTCAAAATAATTTTTTCTAAATTACTTTTTCTTTTATAGCTGTGTAAACAAATAAAATGAGATTTTAAGTTCCACCTGACATGTATGACTCTGCGGGTGTAATGCAATAGCAGGTATTCATTCTTAAGCCCCACCCCCTAATGGCTGCCATCATTGGAAAGGCTCAGACCTTTCCAAGGAGGGCTCTGAGGTCATCTGTTATTCTTACTTTCTATTCAGTTTGGTGATATTATTGGTAAACTTCAATGATATAACGACTAAATCTTACTTTTATGAGTGGAAAAATGCATTTTTGCACTTTTGGCATTGTGGCAAAATCACATATCTGCCTAGCAAACATGCTTTAACTTATTCTGTCCAAATTTGCTTGAGTTATAGTCAAGATGTGCATGAATAAAGTCTGGGGGTTCATCCAGAGTTTCTAATGGGCTTTCATGGTGTTTTGCAGTGTTTATTTTGGAAAAAAAATATAGCCAGGCTAACATTTTTTTCATTTTTTTCTTTGTTTAATCACACAGACATGGTGACATTTAGAAGAGTGGTTACAACTGAAAAATATTCCTCAATGCCTTTCTGTTATAAAAATACATACAATTGTATTTCCAATTTATAGTTTTGAGCTGAAATTGACCGAATTTGCTACTAAGACCTTCTGGTTGTCATGAAACGCGGACAGATGGACCCAGTATTCAAGCAGAGACGGTCAGCAGGAAAGTTCAGTTTATTAAAATAAAACAAAAACTGAAGTGGAGCTGAGGCTCACGGACACTGCAGGAGGGAGGCGAGGCACCGCCCAATCTCAGACACTCTAAGGGAGAAACACAGGTAAGTGACCACGATCATCTGAAGGAAGATGATGTTCTCAGTGAGTCACTTACCTGGTTTAGCAGTTCAGTCCATACCCCTTTGAGAGGGGTGCAATCCAGTCGATGGGCTGACAGCTGAAGCGGTTCGCGTCACCCAGAGTGTCCCCAGTGCTGCAGCTCCGGAGGAGTTGCAGGAAGCCGATCCTGATCAGGGATTCAGATCAGGCAGGAACAGACAG